CCCACTAGCTTTCTGTCTTCCTACAGGCCCCATTCAAGGAATCTTTCTCCTCCAGAGAAATGGCGGGGAGGAGCCTCTGTTCCCTGGTCTGCGAAAAGAGTGGGGAGCATTGAATTGCTCTGTTGCTCCCTTCCCCTACCAGACCATACAGGGAGGGAAATGGGGGGAGGAGGAGCAGGGTGTGAGTGTGTAAGTGTTCATTCTTGTGAGAGAATTTTTCTTGCAAAGGAGATCTTCCAGGTGTTGACCTGCAAAGTCATTCTCCCAGAGGGGTCATGTTTTCCCCAGGAGAAACTGAATGAAAGTTCGTATGTTTGTAGTTCCTGCTGGGAGATCGGGGATTCTCTTGGTAGAAATGTAACACCCACACAGGACTAAAGACCAACTCCAATAAAATAAGAAGTTAATCTAGACATTACAGCTCTGGACCATACATTTAGAAATCCAGGTCTGAGACCTGTTATGACTTTTGAAGGCAGACTATTAGGGCATTTGTACATGTGCTCAGGGAGGCAGGGGTGTTTTAATTAGCACGGCTTTGATTTCCACACTAATTAAAGCACCTGGAGCATCACGTGTATCAGTATCCCTGTGCTAAAAAATGGGGAGGGGCAGGCGCAGCACTTTAAGTAAAACTCATCAAATGAGCTTTAGTTAAAGCACCCCCACCACCATTTTTCAGTGGGGGAAGCTAGTACACATGACACTGGAGTCTGCTGGAGCACGGTAATTACCACGCTCCAGCAGACTCGATTAATCAAGTCTGCTCCAATGCGCTGTAGTTACATCATGTTGGAGCAGCCTCCCTGCATGTGTTTAGGAGCCCCTAATGTGGAATAACACTAACTACTAATATGGAATACTACTGTGTGTCTATCTGGCATTGAAAAGACCTTATCAGATGTCCAGAGATACTGAAAGATCCCATTTCACTGTACAGGTACCATTTAAGTTATCCTCTCTCAGCTGTTCACCTCAGTTTTATGTCACACGCTTCATGATGGGCAGCATTTTGCCAGCTAAACCAGGGGTGGTCAACCTGCAGTACGAGTGCCACAAATGGCACAGATAGCCTCTGTTTGTGGCACACAGCAGATTAGGAAGGAGAAAGGGAGCAGGAAGCAGAACAGGAGATTGGGCAGGGAGCAGAGGGAAGGAAGCAGAAAGCAAAGCAGCAGAATTAGCAGAGAAACTGGCATGCCTGCCAAAAAGGTTGACCACCACTGAACTAAACATTCATGGTTCTTCCGATTTTTTTCTTCATAAACAAATTCCTCCAGCTGACTAATATTTGGTTGCTCATCTCTGAATGTTTTGCTGCCCACTCATTTTATAAGATACCCTGAACTAAAAGCTTTACTAAGTATAGAGCACTGGCACAAGAACTTTAAAAAGATGAGTCATTAGTTCTTTGTTTTGTGACATGTTTCTGCATCATCAGCCCAATATTTCAATGAGCTTTCTGTGGCTGTATTCAATTAGAAAGTCACATCTGATTTTTCCCTATGTTCTTATCCCTAAAACTTTTCCATCATTACTTCTTTCCAGTTTTCTTTCTCTCTATCTGATTTTTTTACCTAGCTATGATTTTGACACTTTCAGAGCTGAATGTCATTGCAGTATTCTGCCCATGTTTCTAATCTTTCTGTGACCCTTCATGTCATTTTTCCATAATATACTCAGTGTACTCAGCTCCTCCTAGTTTAATAGATCTGCAGATTTCATTAATGTACCACTTACTCCCTCTTCCACCTCATTATTAAAGCTATTTAATAGAATCAGAAATAATACCAGTCTGTGCATACTTCACTAAATGCCCCCTCTCAAAGTTATTGTTTATCATTACCCTTCATTGTTTTTCATTGCACTTCTTTTTCAGTCAACATGATAGTTCATCTTGAAACCTGAATTAAGTTTCTGAGCAGGATTTTGAGATAGTATATCATATACTTTACTGAAATTCAGATACAACACTTTATCATTATTGCTGTGCATTCATTTTGTTTTGATACAGGGGAAAAACATAGTAGTTTGGCAGTCTTCAAGCTGTTTAGTACATTTATTTTCTCAAGACTTGTTCCATTATTTTACTAGGAATAAAAACTAAATTTGAGGAACAATTTCCACTCTTCAGGCAATGATTTCAGGTTCTGTGAATTTTCATATTAGATTATTTCACATATAAGCAACTCCAGGAAAATTCTGTTCCTGGACTGAAGACTTAGAGAGAAGAAACTTCTTATTTCTAGATACCAATTGTGACGTATCTGTTTATCTTTGGGTACCATGCTTTTAAAAAAATAAATCTTGAATTAAAAAAAAACAAACAGATGCAGTAACAAAAAGCCCATTTTGAGTAAAACACAGTTCTGTTTATAATACCTAGTTCAGCACAGTCATACAGACAAATACCAATGCAAAACTGCTGCCTTCATCCCAGTCAGATACATACTTGAAGAGGCAGGTGACAATTACTTTCAAGGACCAATTACTTTCAAGCCTTCCTGATAGACTAAGAAAAATCCCTATCTGAATACATTGAAATGAGGAGCAACTCAATCTTGTTCTAGGAATGTCTGGCTCCAGATCCAGCATAAAGCTATGCCAGTTCAGGTTATAAAACAAGAATGAACCCAGTCTGGAGCCACCCTGATTCTGGGTGGCGCTGTGGTCAAGTGCTAATCAACTTCATTTCTGGATTTGTATTAGTGTCCAGGCAAAGAACTAGAATATTGGATTTCTGGTTAGGCTGGTTTTCCTTGCTTGAGGAAATAAACCAAAGTGGGAGTGATGCTCAAACAGCCTTTTGCTAAAATAACAAAATCTCATTTTGCCCCCCTTTCAGTCTTTACCTATGTATTTGACCTAGTCTGTTATCTCACCTGCCTGTTGTCCGGAGTCTGTTATAAAGCACCACTCTGATCTGTTAACGATGCCATTTTCATTGTCCCACGTGTTGATTTCTTCCACAACTGTGTCCATGCTTCTTTCCACACTACTCATGGAAATACTCACTTTCAACTGGTTCACACAGTTCTGTTCCTGCTTGAGTTCAGATTTCTCCTAATACCCACCTGTCACCTAGCACAAAAGTCCACAATAATAGTTTTCCTTTCTAAAGTATTTTGCATAGTTAAATGTTTACAAAACGGCCTGTTCTTTCTGTGACCATTGCTTGTCATCCCTTGACTCCTATTGTTCAGTTCTTTACATGTTACATCATGTATGAAATTGAACTGTATATTCTCCTAGACTGGAGTGCAGTGTAATCTACATTGTTTGAGGTATCTAGTGTAATGGCAAGTGGTGCAAAATTATGCATAGCTATTCTGATTCATGTGCAACCATTAATCATGATTTAATATGTGCCATAGTGAGTTTCATTGTTGATGACGACTAATGCTCACTTTCTTGGGTGCTATCTAGCACTTATCCCTGATTTGTGAACCAAATTGTTTAAATATTATATTAGTACAGTAGACGAAGGATGATATTACAGGAAGTGTTTTTGTATATGTATCAGTTTCTGACCAATTTTAACATTTTATAAAGGAGAATGTACACTTGACTAGACGAATTTTAACATTTTATAAAGGAAAATATACATTTGACTAGACCATCTGCCAGTAAATAGTTTTGGAATATATATGGAGGAACTGCCTCCTTCCTTTTTCCTTAGTTTCTTTGTATTCAAGGGAATTTTACCTTTAAGGGGTAAGCAAAACTCTGAGAGATACTTGAGGAAATGAATTCCTGCTGTGAAACAGTGATTCATTTTGCATTGCATCTGCACAATCTGGCTCTAATGTGCACTTTTGGAATTAATTCAGCTGTTCTACAACTTGACAAAGGTTTTTTTCCCCCTTAATAAAAGTTGTGTGTTCCATTAAAAAATGGTAAAAGAATACACATGGTGTAATAACTGCACACATCGTTTTGCAGGCAATGCCGTTTTTTTCATAATACAAGGTAAAAGATTACTAGTGTACATGATGCTTTTTAATGGGACCCTACCTGGAAAAGGTTTAAAAATCAATGGATACAAGCAAATACAAACCATATAACACAAGCAAATACAAAGAGTAGAGTATGATGACTAGAGTTCAAATTTCTCAGGAGGGATTTTTTACCCTATGGTCCAATAAATATAAGTACTGACTTTAGCATAATCAGAGTGTTATTCTAATCCAGGAAGAGGGAAAGCAGCTCTTGTAGTGCCAAAAAAATAAAGTTGCAATAGTGCCATCTAGTGTACCGTGTTTGAAGTTATTTGTACATTTCAATAGGCGAGGACCTTTTGCTTTGTGTTTTCAGTCTAGGAAGAAGGGGCCGCTCTGAGTTTTTAAAAGAACAAGAAGGCAGCAGTTTTGAGTACCTTCCTAAAGAGGTCCTCATCTTCCTCCTCCTTGCTCTGATTTAGGTACAGTGAATATTTAATAATAAGTACATCTGCTGCAGAGTGACTAGTTCAGCATTGTGCATGCAATGGTTGTACTTTGAGCAGGCAGCAAAGATAAATGCCAGAAAAATGTGGAATCCCAGGTTTGAATGACAAAAAAAAGAGGCAGGAGGGAAGAAGCCTCTGTCTAATTGCTCAGAGACTTACATAGGGTAGAGAGTCATGGGTCTAGGCTGTGCAACAGCTCACATTAGTGAGAGGGGGCAGAGACCTGAGCTGGATAGCTGAATATCTTGTACAGAATGGAGCTGCTCCATGGCCATGTAGCTTGCTGAATTGCTGCCCTTTCTTGTTTCAGTGCATTGCAAGCTAATTCAATACTATGGGCTCTCATCCTGAAACGTGGAAGTGGAAGGCTACAATGACTTGTTTATCAGAGAGTGAAGCTTCTCAAGGTTTATTTTTGTCTTTGATACAGAATTTGCCTGTGACAAGCAAAAGGGAAGTCTGTCTAGGAAGAGCTGTCATTGCTCCACTAGAAGCACAGATTTTCCAGCCACATGATTTCAGCTTCTGTTGCCTGCTCTTCTCCTACCCACAGCAGTTGGCACCCAGGGGATATATCTTTCCCTGCTGGATTTGCTTGGGGTGCAGTCACAGCAGCTTATCAAGTTGAGGTATCAGGTTCCCAGCCATCAGAGGGCTGGGGGACTTCTAAAGTGAAGATGGTCATAACAATTCTCCAACATCAAAAGGATGAGTGAAGGGGGGAGATCTCATGTTCCACTCTGCCTGTTACATTGCTGCTGTGTGCTGCTCCATGTGAGAATTCCCCCTTTTCTAAGCAAAAGTGTGTGTGTGGGGGGGGATATCCCTAAGTCCCAGAAGAAGATAAGATGATGGGATCTGATGGGGAAAGACTGGAATGGAGCCTTCTTTCCTTAGGGTTTACTTTCTGGTGAGAGGAAATGAAAACGTAAACTATGTCCCCACTAGTTCTTAGCCTCTTTCTTTCCGTTCAGACACATCAGAACACCTTACTGTTAACCAGTTCAAGCTGTATGTACTGAGAACAGGTATGGATGGGAAGGAAATTTGGTGAATTCATTCCCCAGAACCAAGTATTGGTGGAAGAGGCATACTTAAGCAGCCCATCTCCAGGGCCTCTAAATCCTGGAAATAAGCCAGAGTAATGGGAGCTGATGGAAGGACACCAAGGACAGCAAGATGGGAAACTGTCTCATAAGGGTCCTTCTGAGATTACAGGCATCCTTATCTACATTGGTGGGACTTCCCTGATGATAGGGAAACCTGCCTACTGGTACTGGATTCTTCAGGGTTTGGCCTTTAGTATTTAATTTAGAGTTTAGAGGTCTGGTAGACAATGATCCTTTTTCATGAACCCCTTTGTGACGGTTGTGGTCAGACTGTGAGAGGGAATGGTGTTAGGCCTCCAAAACTCCATGAAAGGCCCCCAAATGTGTACAACTGTTGTGGTACAGAAAAGAAAGCCAAATGGACTGCTGTTGGCTTGTGGATCATGTAGTAGTTGATTAAGTCACAGTGTAAAATATAGATGGTCACTCCTCTATCTAGTGTGTGAATGTGTGTGTGAGAAAGAGAGAGGGAGAAAGAGATCCTCATTACTGTAGTACCTGAACACAGCTCATTCCTTAATGTTCACATCTTCACAATAACCCTAGCAGCTGGGGAAGTGCCAGTTCCCATTTTACTGATGTGGAACTGAGATATTTTGGGGTGTGGGGCAGGGAGTGACTTACCTAGTGACTTGATGGCAGAGCAGGAACTTGCACCCAGGATGTCCAAGTTCTGGGCTAACAACCTAATAGTCTTCTCAGAAACTTCTTATAAACATCTCCATACCTTTCTCATCATATATACATAGAAGATGTGCTTTGCTCCAGCACAGTTTCTCACTGCCTAGCTCCAGTGCAGGCATGCGTGGGTACAGCCCTCTAGCTCCATGGGTCAGATCCAGGTGTAGATGAGAAATAGATAATACAACATTTTCTCATTTTATACACCAAGGCCCAACTTATCATAAGCACTTAGACATTTCTTTTTAGCCCCCTAATTTTGACTGATTTCAGTGCCTGAATAGTACTTAGGTCCCTTTGTAAATCTGAATTTAACTTCTTTAGAAACATTACAGGCATGTCTGTATTTTAGATCTTTTAATTAACTGTTTGTTACTCTTACCTGAGCTGACATGGCACCTTTCCATTCCATGTGTATCCATAGTCAGGGCCAGATTCTAAAATGAGCTATGGAACAAACATTGCTTTATTGCTATATGTAAAAAATCATGATTTTTGTGTTCAAGTGCAACAAAGCTGTGATTTTTCACCTTTTGAATAGTTAGATGTGTAGCTTGGACATTTTCTTAATATAGCTTGTAATGCAATATGTTACTATGTTTAAAGAATCTTAAACATTTTCCAGTGTAAAATTACTGGGCCAGATACCACTGAAATTACCCTGTTCCCATAGAATTTAGGATGACATCACCTAAACCTGAAAATCTCAGGATCAGTGTGCAGTTTTTGCCTTACAAGGCAATGTAAGGCAGTAGCTCTTGCCCATGTTGTAAGCAGCACAGTGAATGAGGCGAGGGCTGACAGTTTACTTTATTTTTCACTGTCAGCTATGTATTTATGCACAGCACAGCCTACTTCACTCCATATATTTCAAAGTGCTAAAAAATCATACCAATTGTATTCTGCATGCTCAAAGTGCAGATTTCAAAGGTTCATGACTCAGTCGAATCAAAATCAATTTTCACCAGAACACTCAAAGGTACTTTTCCTTACTGAGGGCCATTTCTATGCTAAATTTCAACTCTGCTAGAGCTCTTAAAAAAAAAAGTGGGGGGAGAGAGAGATTGAAAAAAAGTTGCAAGAATTGTTAATAATGGTAAAAATATTTCTTTACTTCTTTCATATCCCAAGTGGCTGAGTTGTATTAACTCAAACAAAAAATTATCTTAGGGCAGAAAGCAGGCTTGGAAAATTTCAACCCAAATAAAAAACAATCTACATTGGAAAAAGCATATCAAATCTTAATACAACAATCACTGCTACTCCTGCTCTCGCTTAGTCTTGAAAAAATATTTTAATCCATTTCATTTCAGTAATTGTAGAGACTGAGGAATCCACATAAAAATGATTTTATTGATTTGATGATACATTATTGCAATATAAGGTGATATGGCCAACATGTCTAACCCATCGGAAATGGAAGACTAGATCCTCAGCTTTATTTTGTCTCCTTCCTGAAGCTGCCTGAGGGCAGTTTAGTCCTTGAATTAATTTAGACCATGTCCAATCCCTCACTTCCCTGCCCTTTGTCTGTCAGACTAGGGCATGCACTCAGGACCCCTCCAAGGCAGGGATCAGCAACGTAAGGCCTGCAGGCTGGATCTACCCATGGAGACACTAAATCCAGCCCACAGAAATAGATAGCTTTGTCTGTGCCCTTGCCTGCACCTGTGCCCATGCTGGGGCAAGGTAGGAAGGTGATGTGCCAGGGTTGGGCAGCTTCCAACTGTGCTCGTGCCACTTGCTTCTTACCATCCTCCAGCTGTGGTCCAATGAGGGGCTTTGCCTGCTCCTATGCCAGGGCCAGACAGCTGGGAACTATGCCTGTGGTGCTGCCACTTCCTCTAGACCCCTGCTCTCTGACCGCAGCATGGGCACAGCTTCTAGCCAGTGGGGAGCTGTGCTGAAGCTGGGCACTTTCCATTTGTGCCTGTTCCACAGCTGGGAAGGGAAGAGAGAAGGGAGCAGGGAGAAGCAGCAACACCACAGACACAGCTTGCAGATAACTGGTCCCAGTGCAGCTCTCCATGGGTGGGGAGCTGCACCCACACTGCAGCCAAGGAGTTGGGGGGCTAAGGAGAAGCAGAAGTGCAGGCACAGTTGTGGGAAGCCCCTTATAGCTGATATCCCACTGAAACCACCCAGGTTGCTGGCCCCTGCTCTAAACCATCTGTTCTGCCTAAGTGATAGGTTTAGGGGAGTGTGAGATGTGGAGGAGGGAAATGGGGGGCAGAGAGGGAGAGAGAGAGAGAGAGAAAGGATGGAACTTCTCTTCCAGCATCAGTCCTGGACTTAGAGGTGCCCAGAGTAGTTTTAAATTAATTAAGCTCAGGTATTTGGTGCTGTCTAGATGCAGCAATATGGAGCTCTGGAGGAGCTAACTGCTGCTCAGCAGAATAAACTAGCTTTCCTGCAATTCTCATCTTCTGTGGCTAGACCAGTTTTAGTATCTAAGATGGCTTGTTTCAGAAGTTAGCACAGGTATTTCTACACTACAGTCTGAAATGTACTACATGTGGAATATAGCTAAGAATGCTCCAAATTATGTTGGTTTCTAACAGTCTTCTTGGGGTACCATCCTGGCTGATGACCACTCGAATGCTTCTGGCATACTTTTGTGCCTTGGCACTCCACCCTTTGCTGTAGTGAGGTAGGCACAGAAAAGATGGTGCGGAGTGTCAGCTGAGATTTCCCATGTTCCAGAGATGTCCTTAGCTACCCAGTACAACAGATTATGGTCTCTCTGAACCATCTTATAAATGCAAAGGGGCCACACTATGGCCCAGAATATGATCCCTTAGCATTTGGATGTTTCAGCCAGACAAACTTCTGTTGTTAAATGTGTCTGTATTTGTACCAACTACAAAATAATTAAACTTCCCTTTGGTATAAGAATAATTTGAACGTATACTTTAAACTGAAGTCAGAAGGCTTTCAATACTGTATCTGAGGAAAATACTGCAGCATTGAGTCACTGAATTGTCAGAGAACTTGTACTTGAAGAGATATCCAGATTTGTTGGATCTAAAAATTGACCTACTCTGAAGGTTGTCCTGTATAAGAGTTCAATTTACTGAACAACCAAATGTAGATGTATTGGTGTTCGTGTGCAGTGATAAAATTCTGTAAAGAACATGAAATGTGACAATGGTCTTTGAGAAACTAGGTTACAGAAGTGATATTACAGATTTTAGTAATGCTTTAAATTAAGTGTCCTCAATATGCTTAACCTTGCATTAAACTTAGATTTAATAAGACAAATGTGTATTAAGTACTGAATATACTTAAGGGAGCAATCTTGCATTGGCAGGGGATGGACTGGATGACCTCCTAATAGGTCTTTTCCATCTCTAATTTCTGTGATACTAATTGATTATTAAAACACTTTTATTGAGGATTGATATGTAGCTATTATATAGTTATTAATCTTACAACCCAACTGATATTTAATTTATACATGCTTTTAACACACAATGTCATTTTAGTTTTTAGTCAGTAACCCAGGAACCAAACATTAAGTGGAGCCTTGAAAAATCCTGCTTATAAATGAAACTGTCTTCCTTTGAGTTTGATGATCAAAGCATTCTTTTATACTACTGGCAGAGGGTTACAGGACTTTTCATATGTAAAAAATGAAACTATTTCTGTATTTTACTCCATGGTATTGCAAACCCTGTGGAGTGGTCATCATGAGGAAACTGCCTTTCCTCAGTTTATACCATGTGGTAGAGCACATCTCAAAATATAGCTAAATATGAAATTTTTAAAGGTGACCTCTACCTCAATTTCAAAGCCAATAAGAAATGTCCCAGAATGCCTGGGATGCAGGAAATGGTACAAAGGTTGTTGAAAGTTTGGTATAAATTTTAATTTGCTAGAGTCATTGCCATTTTTTACTGTGAATGTTCGGTTAAGGGAAAGGCAGAAGTTTCACAGAGCTGTGTTATTAATTCATCTTGTATATGCCTAGGGCCATGGCTCATAATGGCATTCCTTTCTTTTTAACATACTGTCAGGACTTTCAAAGGACATCCAGAAAGCTTCAAGTGACTATTTGTTGGATGCGTTTATCATTTTCTAAAGGTTTTATTTGATATGGACTGATCTTTTATATCTATGGGTGAAAGGTGCATTAGAAAATACTTTTTGTAAAAACCTATAACTCAAAAGATTCACAAGCATCTGATTTTTGGCTACAAGAATACACTGTGTCAGAATCTCAACAAGGGCTTTCTGAAGCATTTTTTTAAATAGTGAGCAATAAGACAATTGTGAATAAATACAGACCTAATGCAAATAATCTCAATCCTGGAAAAAATGCTGCTCAATTTAAGTGAGACATGAAAAGTAAGACCTGCTTGATTGTAAGGCATGAGATTCTTGCGTCTTTGTGATAAATATTTACATTCAACATATGTCTCATGATGTCGAAAGTGTAACAATTCAGTTTTGTTTTTAATCAGGAGACTGGAATGCAGATGGAAAGGGCCCTAATGTTTGGGACACATTCACCCATCAGGGAGGAGATCGAGTTTTCAAGAACCAGACTGGTGATGTAGCTTGTGGCAGCTACACTCTGTGGGAGGAAGATTTGAAATGTATCAAACAGCTTGGATTGACTCATTATCGCTTCTCTCTTTCCTGGTCACGTCTGTTACCTGATGGGACGACAGGTTTCATCAACCAGAAAGGCAATTGTTTCTTAAAAATAGAAGGTTGCAGCTTTAATTCAAGGTTATTGCTGCAGTCTGGCATAATTAATCCAGTATACTATTCTGCAGTGTAGCTTTGAAATTGCAACTTTTTTTTAGAGTAATTATGAGATTTTTTTTAATAGGTTTGCAACAACTTGCTAATTAATATCCTAAGTCCCCTTGGATACTGTGATCTTTTGGGGAGGGATTAGTATTATATCCCCTAATATATATTTTTGCTTGCTTTAAAAATTGTTAGTTTTTGTTGAAAATGGTTATTCTAAAATATTTGGGCTTTTGATATTGTTTAAAGCTTCAATGAATCCCTGCAGAATTTGCTGTCAATAAGAGGGCACTTTTATATGGTTTATAAAAAAGAAAACTATTTGAGAATATTAGAAAATGCATGTAGATAATTTATAAATATAATCTGATTGCAGATTGATTATTGTATGTTGCCTAAAATGGTTAGATTTTTCTGTAGATATGCAGATAATACACTCCTGGGGTGGAAAATTTAAGGGAAGTTTATGGTTATTTGTATTCCAGGGTATTTGCAGGCCCAGGCAGGTCTGGGGGCCCATTGTATGAGGTACTGGAACAAATATTCAAAGACAGTCCTTGACACACAGAGATTATACACTAAGTATGGGACAGACAAAACTGGATGAAAAAAAATCTACTACATAGAGACAAAAATGGATGAAAATATTTACTACATAAAAGCAGCCTGGTCAAACAGAGATTGTAAAAATTATATTGGTTTAGATATGTTTGCATCAAATATATAATGTATGAGAAAAGGCAGGGATGTGCAATATTCCATGCAGAAGAAAGTGAGTTTGGGGAAAGAAAAAATGGAGGGAAGCACAAAGAAGGAAGAGTGAAGCTGCATCAGAGAGACTGTGAGGAATGGAGTGATAGGTCTAAGCAATCAAGAGGAAGGAATAGATCCTGAGCAAAACAAAGTTCTGTAGATGTGGAAGGCATCAGCATCTAAGAGTGTCTGTCCTGTCCTGCTGCTGCTTTACCCTAGGTCTTACTATAAAGACATAAATCTTTGTGCTTCTGGAGCAGCTTAAACCCTTTGTGTTCCCTTCCCCTCCCAGTCCAAGAAGGCCTGGACTGGAAGGACAATAATGGGAAATATTAAGATCCCCCTCAGGACTTCCCATATTGATACATATATAGTAGGAAAAATATTGTTTTGTTAAAAGGTTGGGGGTACAGAATCTGAGTTGCCCGTGCAGACAGATGAACATCCTTTGCATCCTGCTGATCACAGCTTCTCTCATAATGGGATGGAGGAGGGTTTGCTTCAAGCAGTTAGCAGGGTGAGCTGCTGGATTCACTGATGACAGACCAGCCAGCCACTGTCCCCTACAAAGCAGGACAGCAGGAATACCCCAGCTTCTAGTGAGACCTATTTAGGAAGCTTTCCTGCCCCCACCAGAATGTCTCAGCATACAGCCTCTTCTCACTAGCAATATTTTAGGGACATAGAAATCAGATTTGGCTGAATCCTTAGTTTTTTCCCTGGACATGGATTTCTTCAGATAGTGCTGCACGCAGTGTACATTTGCCACAGAACTGCTTATTGAACAGGCTTTGTTATTTAGATGGCAGAGTGGGAGACAGAGAGCAGACATTTTTAATGCAGTCAGTAAAATAAAGCTAACTTTTTGTCGCAACTCAAATATAATTTCAGAAAATGTTCACTTGATCCCTGTTTTAAACAGTTGCCTGATTAATATTATGAACTTTACATTTAACAAAAGGGCATCGGAGGGGCTCCAAGTAGGCCAGTTTTCATTAGGCAGGAGCTCACTTCTGTGCAGTGATCTGTTGAAGCAATTGTAACTGCCTAGCATGGAAAGGCCAGCATCTTCTATATAAATATTTTCACAAAGAGCATTCACATGAACTGATTCACTATCAATTTCACACCTAAAACATGGGACATTTGGAAAACCTTTAAAACCCTTTTGTTTTTCAACTATGGAGGGGGAGGGGATTCTTTTAAAGGAACAATGTTTCAGATGTTTTCTTCTTGTGAAATGTCAGGTTCAGGTGAAAGCTTATTTAAGGCTTTTTTTCCCCCTTTTTTTTGGGGGGGGGGGGGGGGGGG